ATTCACCTCAAACTATTGAAGATGTGAATTATATGAATTCATATGGGAATAGGGGGAATCAAGGAGGCAACAACTATTCCAACAATCAACAAAGGTTTAACCAAGGTAATTCTTGGAAACCACAAGGAGGTCCGTCTAACCCCCCGTCCGGATTTTCACAAGGGCAGACCATGGAGGAAATGATGAAAATCCTCACTCAAAATGTTGTGGCTAGTGTAAAGGCCCAAAATAAGGAGAATCATAGTGGAGTGGAGGCGTCCATTGGGAATCTCCATTCACAATTCACAAAGCTTGACCTCCGGTTTGAAGATCAAAACCGGAAACTTCACCAACGCATGGAGAACATAGAGCAATACACCAAGTCATCCATTCACAACTTGGAGGTACAAATTGGGCAAATTGCCCAAGGAAAAAGCACTAGAGAGCAAGGGCGGTTCCCCACAACAACGGAAGTCAACCCAAAAGAAAATGTCATGGCCATAACAACAAGAAGTGGCAAACAAACGGAGGATCCTAAATCACCGGAGAATGCACCAATATCACGAGAGGAGGAAGATTTGGAGGAACATATGTTGGGCCGCGGGTATGCGGTGCCAGCAACAGCCAGCCTGCCGGTGCAATCGGACCGCGTGGCGCTTCGCTTGTGCTATAAAGGGGGAGGAGCGTGCTTCACTATCAGCGATTGCTTTTAGTGTAGCGGTAAGCGCAACGATCCACAAGTGGTATCAGAGCCAAGGTCACGGGTTCGACCCTCGGCAACAGCATGTTGCGCAGTTGTAGACTGGCAGGTGCTGGGGGGAGATTGTTGGGCCGCGGGTATGCGGTGCCAACAACAGTCAGCCTGCCGGTGCAATCGGACCGCGTGGCGCTTCGCTTGTGCTATAAAGGGGGAGGAGCGTGCTTCACTATCAGCGATTGCTTTTAGTGTAGCGGTAAGCGCAACGATCCACAACATATATCACCATCTCCAACAATGGCAAATTATGTTCCTCCTATCCCATATCCACAAAGATTGAGGAAGAAGGATGATGGTAAACAATACAAGAAGTTTCTTGATATTTTTACCAAGCTAAGCATCAACATACCATTCGCGGAGGCTATTGCGGAAATTCCCTCTTATGCCAAATTTCTAAAGGGGATTCTCTCAAACAAGAAGAAACTAGCGGAATTTGCAACCGTGGCACTAACGGAGGAGTGTAGTGCAATCCTTCAAAATAAGCTCCCCCCAGAATTGAAGGATCCCGGAAGCTTCACCGTCCCATGTTCTATTGGCAAAATTGGAGAGGTAAAATCTCTGTGTGATCTCGGAGCTAGTATAAATCTTATGCCTCATTCTCTGTTTAAAAAGCTTGGTGTGGGGGAACTTCAATCTACAACGGTTGCTCTTCAGTTGGCGGATAGAACAATCCGTTATCCATTGGGTGTTATGGAGGATGTTCTAGTCAAAGTGGGAAAATTCTATTTTCCGGTGGATTTTCTCATTTTGGAAATGGAAGAAATGGAAGAAATGAAAATTCTTAGCTACCGCTGCCGCCCTCATTGATGTGAAGAACGGAGTTGTTAAATTTCGGGTGGGAGAAGATGAACAAGAATTCCATGTTTGGGATTCATTAAAGAAACATCATGATATCTCCTCGTGTTTTAGTATTGACATCATTGATACTATAACTCGGGAAATGTTTGAAAGAGAGCTTCACAAAGATCCTCTTGAAGCATGTCTTACACTAGGACACACCGAAGAAGAGAAAAATTATGAAATTTTCCAACAAATGATGTTCTTGCAAGGTGAAACCATTCATAGACCTTACCGGCAAAGATTTGAAGATCTTGGGCAAAGGAAGTCCATCCTCCAACCATCAAGTCAAACTCCTCCAAAGCCTACTCTCAAACCTCTATCGGTACATCTCAAATATGCATTCCTTGGCAATGACTCTACATATCCGGTGGAAATTTCCTCTACTCTTTCTCCTTTACAAGAAGAGAAATTACTCCGGGTATTGAGAGCTCACACATCATCAATAGCTTGGTCTTTGGCGGATATCAAGGGTATAAGCCCATCTCTATGCATGCATAGGATCCTCATGGAGGAAAATCACAAACCAACGGTAGAACATCAAAGGAGGCTCAATCCAAATATGAAGGAGGTGGTCAAGGAGGAAGTTCTCAAACTCCTTGACTATGGTATCATCTATCCCATTGACTACCAAAAACTGAATGCCGGCACAAGAAAAGATCATTTCCCCCTACCATTCATGGATGAAATGCTAGAGCCGGTCATGAATTCTAGTGCTTCTTGGATGGGTTTTCGGGCAATTTTCAAATAGCTATTTCACCTGAAGATCAAGAGAAAACCGCCTTTACTTGTCCTTTTGGGACATTCGCTTACCAGAGGATGCCGTTTGGACTTTGCAATGCACCGGGGACCTTTCAAAGGTTCGTCATGGCTATTTTTTCAAATATGGTGGGAGATTTTATGGAGGTATTTATGGATGATTTTTCAGTCTTTGGAAACTCATTTGATATATGCCTAAATAATCTTGAAAAAGTGCTCATCCGATGTGAAGAAACCCATCTTGCTCTTAATTGGGAGAAATGTCACTTTATGGTGACCGAAGGCATTGTCTTGGGGCATAAAATATCCCCTCAAGGCATTGAAGTTGATCAAGCTAAAGTGGAGGTTATTGAAAAATTTCCACCTCCTCATTCGGTAAAAGCCATTCGAAGTTTCTTGGGGCATGCCGGTTTTTACCGGCGATTCATCAAAGATTTCTCAAAAATCGCAAAACCACTTTGCGATTTACTTGCCAAGGATACCACTTTTGATTTCTCTCAATCTTGCCTACTAGCCTTCAACACTCTCAAAAAGGCTGTTACTACGGCTCCAATAATCATCTCACCGGATTGGTCTCTACCATTTGAGTTGATGTGCGATGCTAGTGACCATGCCATTGGAGTTGTACTTGGTCAAAGAAGAGAAAAGAAACTTCATGCCATATATTATGCATCGAGGTTACTTCATGATGCGGAACTCAACTATGCAACAACGGAGAAGGAGTTCCTAGCCGTCATCTATGCCTTTGACAAATTCCGGTCTTATCTCATTGGCCAAAAGGTGATTGTTTACACCGATCACTTCGCCATCCGGTACCTTTTGAACAAAAAAGATGCCAAACCACGATTAATCCGGTGGGTGCTATTGCTTCAAGAGTTTGACCTTGAGATACGGGATAAGAAAGGAAGTGAAAACCTTGTTGCGGATCACCTCTCTCGCCTTGAGCCAAATACCACTACTAATAAGGAGGTAATTCATAATGATTTTCCTTATGAGCAACTTATGGAGGTGAAGGGAGTCCCTTTACCTTGGTTCACAGATTTTGTGAATTATCTTGCTAAAGAAATCTTTCCCCAAGAGCTCACTTTTCATCAAAGAAAGAAATTTTTAAATGATGTCAAACACTACTATTGGGATGAGCCATATCTTTTCAAGCATTGTGCTGATGGAATCATATGACGGTGTGTCCCAAATGAAGAGATGTTATCAATCCTCGAGCATTGTCATAATCTTCCTTGTGGAGGTCATCATGGTCCGGACCGAGCAACGGCTAAAATCCTCCAATGTGGATTTTTCTGGCCGACAGTTTTCAAAGATGCAAGAAGTTTTGTCCTAGCATGTGACCGTTGTCAACGCACAGGAAATTTCAGCCGGATGAATGAAATGCCACAAAACATGATTCTTGTAGTGGAAATATTTGATGTATGGGGAATAGACTTCATGGGTCCTTTTCCTAACTCTCATGGCAAAGAATACATCCTTGTTACAGTTGATTATGTATCCAAATGGGTGGAGGCCATTGCTCTACCGGACAACACCGCTAAATCGGTGGTGGAGTTTGTGAAAAAGAACATCTTCTCAAGATTTGGGGTTCCTAGGAGTATCATTAGTGATAATGGTACTCATTTCAAAAATGCTCATTTTACCGGCCTCTTAAAGAAGTATGGATGCATGTTCAAGACCGGAGCCACTTACCATCCTCAAACTAATGGTCAAGTGGAGGTTTTCAATCGGGAGATAAAATCCATTCTTGAGAAGACGGTCAACTCTTCTAGGAAAAATTGGTCACTAAAGCTTGATGATGCCTTATGGGCATACCGAACGGCCTACAAAACTCCACTCGGTATGTCCCCTTTTCGGCTCGTTTATGGAAAACCATGTCACCTCCCTGTGGAGCTTGAGCACAAGTCTCATCGGGCTATTTCCCAATTAAATCTTGATAACACTCTTGGGAGAGAAAAGAGGATGCTTCAAATCAATGATCTAGAAGAGCTCCGAAGAGATGCATATGAGAACTCCCGCATCTACAAAGAGAAGGACAAAGCTTGGCACGACAAAAACATAAATCGGAGGGAATTCTATGTCGGACAAAAGGTATTACTTTTCAACACAAGACTCTGTCTATTTCCTGGAAAGCTCAAATCCCGATGGTCGGGGCCTTACACGATCACCGAGGTCCGACCATACGGATCAATGATGATTCAAGATGGTGATCAAGCACCATTCCTGGTAAATGGTCACCGTCTAAAGCCATATATGGAGTACCACATCACTTCGGCGATCACTGCATGCCAATTGGAAAAATAAAGGTACGTTGCGTCCAGCCTATGACGTTAAACTGAGCGCTAATTGGGAGGCAACCCAACATCAAAAATTTCAATTATAAATAAACATGTACATTTTTTTAATGTTTATTTATAATTGAATTCAAAAAAAAAAATATTACGGATCGACCGGCCTCGGTTAGAGGCAACCGGCCCCGGTCCAAGACAGTGAGCTCGGAACGCATCAAAAATGCATAACCGGCGCCGGTCATCACACATCCGGCGCCGGTCGTTCCGTTTAAAAAAACCTCAGAGTCGCTCCTCAGACATTAATTTTGAAACCCTCCCCCAAATCTTGAGAGCTCTTCGCCGGAAAACATCCCCAAACCACCCAAAACCGCCATCCCAAGCCAAAAGTCACCCTTAGGAGTTCCAATTAAGCATCAAGCATCAATTCTCAAGCTTCGTCATCCCAATTTGAGCATCAATTCAAGGTATTTTGGCTTTAATCCCAACTTTCTCCAATTTTTGAAATTTATTCTTTCTTTCAATTTTTGGCAAAATAGATGTTTATCATTGATGAAAATTGCCTCCATATGTTCACGTGATGTATATAAACTTGTTTGATGCCAAAAAATTTTGAGATTATAGTTCAAAATTAGGGGAAGTTCTTGCAAATTTTCTCAAGAACCCTAATTTTGAATTTCTTTTTCATTGATGAATTCTTTTAATTGATGCTTAGAGATATGTTGATATGACTTGTTGTTGATATATAATCTTCTAAACATGATTGTTGCAAGAATTCTTGAATGAACATGAAATTTGGGGAAATTGAAGAAATTTTTGAAATCTTACCTTGAATTGAGGAACAAATGGTGTTATGTGTATATGTTGAATTAATTGTGCAGGTCAAATGGCTCCTAAACGACAAAATGATGCTACTTCTTCCTCTTCATCCGTACCACGCTTCACCTCCCCGGAGAATGAAGCTTGATACGATCAAAGGAAGAAGTGGAAAATTGTGATTGAAAAGACCGTGCATCCGGAGATCGAAGCTCTCTATCGACTCTCCGACGCTTTTCACAAATTGGGATGGGCCGTCATGCTCACTTTGACTGGGGCATTCTACCCGACGCTTGTACGGGAGTTCTATGCCAATATTGAGAGGAAAATGGACCCGTTTGGGAATATTGTGAGCACTGTTAAAGGCACAAAAATCACCATTAGCAAACAACAATTGAGCAACTTGCTTCGCGTCCCCAACGACGGTCATCCGGTTGAAATGAACTCTGTAGTGGTGCTCACCAACCCCGCTTACAAGGAGATTGATGTCATGAACAACTATGGATTCGATGAAGAACTCAAGGCCCGTGTTCTTGAACCCCGAGAGAGGCTAATTGCATACCTTTTGAGCTTCAACATCTTGCCAAGAGCTAGTGACACGCATGTGCTTCGGCGGTTGGACCTCTATCTCATGCACAAAATGATGAACGGGCTTGGAGAAATCGAGGGCATTCCGTTGGCCCCTCTCATCATGACAGAAATGAGGGGCGTCGTCAAAACTAAAAGAGGTGATAAAAACTTTATTTATCCTCTTTTACTCACAATGATTTTCAGGAGTTTTGGCGTCGATCTTAGAAATGAAGAGGTAGAGTACACCACCGAAGCCCAAATTTTGAGGCCAAGCACTATGGTGTCCCTCCACTTCAAGAAGGTGGGAGGCGCATGGGTTCGCAAGGATGATAATGGGGACGAAGAGATGGGAGAAGCCGCCGCACAACCCGCAGCCCGGCCACGACGAACTGTGGCACATGGCATTGATTATATTGTTGAGTCCATGGACCGTATGCATACGCGGATGGACGTGTACGAAGCTAACCAAGAGGACCTCTGCACCCGTCAAACAGGGATGGAAGAGCATTTGGACCACATTGACCGAAGGTTTGGGCAATTCACCCAACACTACTATGGTCAATTTGGGCACCCCCCTCCCGACCCACAAAATTAGGTTCCCCTTCTTGTTATTTCATATGACATACTCTTCTCTAAACACACACTTTATGGGGGATTGAAGTTTTTATGTTCCTATGGCTTCTACATCGAGGACAATGTAAAACAAGTGTGGGGGTGAATAATTGGTTGAGAAACTTTTTTTTGCAAACTAAATTTTTTCTAGGAAGGTTAAATTTTTTGATATTCTCTCTTTTAAGGGTTTTGGTTGAGAAAGATTTTCTTTTACTCACAAAAATGTATTTTTAGATTAATTAAAATATTTATTAATCTTGAAACCACCACTTTCACTCAAATTTGTGACAATGTTCCAAATCCATACAAATGTGCATAGAGTGTAAATTCAAAATAAAAGTTTCATCCCAACTCCAAATCTCTCTATTGTCGGATTCTCCTCATTTCTGACAATCTGGATATATAATTACGGAGAACAAAAAAAAACTCATGTTCTCATAGAATAGCTTTCTCTACAAAATCAAGTTGTCAGTCCACAAAAAAAAATCCCGACATACCCACACATTGCCTAAATTGTCACAAAATAAACCCATCAAGCGTTTAAATATTTTTCTTAATCTTAAATACATTTATTGTGAGTTATAGAAAAAAAAATTTGGCTCGAGAAAGATTAAAGAGTTTATATCTAACTTTTAACATCTTATTAAACTTTTAATTTGCATGGTTTAGTTTCTTTTCTAATTATTCATCAATACAAAGAAATTGCTTGAGGACAAGCAATGCTCAAGTGTGGGGGAATTTGATAAGCACAATAATTACTTATGTTTTACATAAGTGATTATAATTATCTGTACAAAAATTCAAGCAAAAACAGGTAAATATTCCCGAATGAGCAGAAACATGCAATGCGGCTTGGAACAGCAAAAATAGGGTCAAAAGCCAAAAGGGGTCGAAAACCGGCAATTTTGGATAAATTTCGGGCATCAAAAGAGAAAAAGAAGCTAAGTACAAATTTGGGCGCAGGAACCGGCGCCGGTCATCATACATCTGGCGCAGGTCGTTTGTTTTTTTTTTCAAAAGCGGCCTGTTTCCAACCGGCGCGGAGCAACCGGTGCATTTTTGCACACGACCGGCGCCGGACACCTCATAACCGGCGCCGGTTGTTCCGATTTCTGCTACAAACACAGCTACGTGCAAAAGATTTCTTGATGGGAAACTTCATCTTCTTCATATTTGATCAGATATCTCCACCACACCTGTTTGTTGGGCTTGAATAGACTAAAAGATGTCATTCTTTAGCCTATATAAAGCCCTCAATTCGTCATACAAATTCATTCCATTCCATAGATTAATTCTTAGGTTTTATATTTTTGTTCTTGGTATTTTCTTCAAGTTCTTGAGGAGGGAAGTTCATCCTCCGAAATCATTGGTGTTTAGGTATTATTTCCTTTGTAATTTCATGTTCCATTACATTTATTATTGTATTGTGATTAATATGAGCATTAGAGGCTAATTTCTTAGCTAAGGCTAGGGATGAACTTCTATGCCCACTAGGTGTTTGATAAAAGTTCTAAACCAATAAATTGTGATTTATCCTTTATATATTGATTGTTTATGACTATGGTGTACAACATAGAAGTATGTTAAATTTAGTTTATACTTGCAATTAACGTTGAAATCTAAACTATGAACACTAAAGGATAAACATATATAGTACCGAGAATAGAAATATATCCGGTCTTATATGATACGGGTGTGATGTCTTGATATTCAACGGGGTTTTCGGTAGATGAATGTAAGCCGTAACGGGACTTACACGTAACGAAAACCACGCTCTCGCTGCCTTAACCGGAGTTGAGAATATATTAGCGACATCGTATTCATAATTATTGGCAAAGAACTAATATTCAACCCTATTTAAGCATTTAAGTGATTCCCGAAGCCTTAGTTGTTGTTATCATTTATCTTGAACTCAAAGTTAGTTAACAATTATCTTGTTGAACAAAAAGTGAAAAAAACCAAAAATATAAAACACAAATCAAAATCCCTGCACATTATTCAATTCTTTATTTAAAGTTATCTACTCTCGGACTTGAATTAAACAACGTTTCCTTGTGGATTCGACCCGGTATTTTACCGGAATTTATTACTATATAGGAACTTGTACACTTGCAAGTTTAGCCCGATCATTGACCGAACTCGACTCGTGCTTTGACTGAGCGGCTCACGAGCGGCTCGGCTCATTTGCACCCCTACTACTTTGTGTTTTTTCGACGGCTTCTAGAAGCTAAGGACTCTTCTCCACCATTCATCATACCCCGCCACGCATCCGCTCTTGTGGCATGTTTTCCATCTTAAAAACAACTCTAATCAAATAAAACTTAATCACTACAAAACTGAAACTGAATGTTAAAAACCAAACTGAATCATAGTTGTTTCGTTCGATTTTGGTTTTTACCCTTCAAAATCGACAGAACTGAATAAACCGAAATACTTAAAATATGAAATTTTATTTGTTACTTTGAAAGCATTAATCCTAATTAATCGTAATATCACCGATAGTCTTTGGTTTTCTTGCGCTAAAATATTGTTTTTGGTTTTGTATTTAGTTGAGTTCATAAATACATTTACACATTCTGTACCCATAAGAATATTGAGTAGCTATATTGATCTTTTATGTCTTTTATGTATGTATGTATGTATCTATGTATGTTGCATCTCCAGTATACGAGTATCTGACCTCTGTCTCCTCCACAATGTAGTCTTGACTATTTGAGGTGATGCTTTTGAGGAGAACTTGTCGGTGGCACAGTGGAAAATAATGATCGACTCATGAGTGTAGCTGACCATTTGATTCGAACCTGGTTGGTGTAGAGATAGAATAGGATTCGTTGGATGAGAGAAGTGTCCTAGAATGATTTGTTGAGAGTTAACAGCATGTGGACCACTCTCCCCTTCATGACGATCCGATAAATCAGGGTGTCATGCCTTTATTCTTTTATTCTGAGAAGCAAAACAGAAAAAACCAACAAAAAGGTAAACACCGGATACACCATGGTGTTCAGTTATCACAATCATCAATGTAAACACTGATGTGTGGCCTGTATAAAATCATAGAAGCATTAAAGCTTTAACAGGACTTCCAACCAGTCATTGTGAAGTATCCGAAGTAGATGTCACTCTGGTTGTTATGGCAAACTCATAAAGATTAGCATTGAGAACTTGTAGCCCCCCGAGGTCATGTAGACACTCGTTATCATCACTATAGAGATAAACTCTAAAGCAATGGCTTGAAAATGTTGGTGATTCTTATGTTGCAACAGCAGGACTTCCTTCCAATCATTGGTCTACATCTGTAATAGATGAACCCTATGGAAGTGCGTCTAAAAGTGTGTCTGTATCCTAGAAAATTCAAAAAATTTGGGAATGAGGTAACTAGATACGACGTGATCAATGAAAGTTCAGCGGCATGAGGTTGAGGCCACTATAGTCAGTATCAGTCGCCTCAGAAGGAGACAATGATATATAATGAGGTTCCCCGTGAAATTTGATTAAACACCTGTCTGTTAGGGGACAAATGAGTTTTCTAGGGTAGGGTTGTGCATGCGTTGTTGGACAAGATGGATTCTGAATAAATTTAGTCATGTACCTATGGGGAATTGTCCGGATTATTTAAGTGACTAGGATGGATTCTTCAGTTGATCGCTCAATTGAGGTAACAGATTTGTCTTTGAATATTGTTTTCTTTCTCAGTTGAGCCTGTTGCTTCCTCACTCTCATAGTGTTACTCACTCACTCACTCACTAAAGGCTTTGTCCTTTGGGTAGGCTTAATTGGGGTTACTAAGCCATCGGGACTTATCTCTCATTTCTCTTTGATCTTTTCTCTCCGTGCTCCCCCTCAACTGGAGCAATGTAGGATGCTTTCAACAATGTTTGGCGTTTGGGAGGAGAACTTTGAAAACTCCCCCTCAAAAACTGCATCCTTGAGAGAATCCTTGCAATTTACTTTGACTAGCACCAGGAGGAGAAAAATGAAACCCTCCCTCAAAAGTTGCAAGTAGTGGTTTTTGTTACCCGGGGAGTAAAGTAGAAAACTACCCTTTGGAATGTGCTTTCTTCGTTGTTTGGCACCAGGAGGAGAGAAAAAAAACACTCCCCCTCAGATTATGCACTTGTTTTTCGTTCTTGGCACATGTTGGTGTTGAGGTGTGCATTTGATGATTTTCAGCTTATTCCGGAGTGTATGTGTCGGTACACGCTTTCATAATGTGAACCAGTTGATTGCTCACAGTTCGTCTTCATACCCGCCATGTGTGTGAAGCAATTGGATCAGTTACCACACATGACGGTCAGCGGAACAGGTTACGTCTTCTCTGGTACCCATTTCCAGATGGGTCGTCCTTCCTTTGCAGCATTGAGAAACTATTGCACTTTCTGTTTGATTTGGGATCCTAGGCTAGCTGGTTGAGAAGAGTGTGACATTCTTAATTTCTCAGCTTCAGCCTTAGGAACCCATTGTAATTTGATCTTTGGAGTAGGAGAGGTTTCACCAGCAGTGAGTTAATGTTCAGACAGATAGTCTTTTATGATTTTTTCTTGAGAGAGTCTTCTCAAGTGTCTGAGTGAGTAAACCTTGAGGGGATACCTTAAACATGGAAAATTATACTCCCCTTCAACGTTCACCTTCACATAAGTTGATTCCCTTGGGCATCTCTGAACATTCACATTTTTGTCTTGGTTGGAGGAGGCATCAGACTCAGAGCAGCAAGTTTTTGTTGACTTAACACAGTTCAGAGTAGAAGAGCTTGAACAGTAGTGGTTCTTGAAAGATGTCTTCCTTTTAGCATAGAACAGAGCACTCGAACATCGGCCCCTGTTCCTTAGATGAGATTCTTCCTCCTTCTTTCTTCTTGTTAACTTCTCCTCTATCCATTCTCCCCTCCTTTCCACTCTCCTCTTC